TATAGGGATCCTGTTAAGTGAGAGGTGAACTGGATTTCCAACGCCTCCTTTGGGGCAGTGGTTGGAGTCTTCCTCCGATAGTGGATAATTAGAAGGGATTGAATAGAAACTGGAACGACACTGGTGAGTGCGGCTATCCTCCCAAGGCTCCAGAGCACAAGATCCTTTTGGACTATGTCAACTTCTTGCTGCAGTTGTCCAGCGAAACCCAGATCTCATTCTTGCAGCTCAACGAGATCGGCGGCCCTCCTTATCCTTCCTTCCGCGAGGAGGATCCTAGGCTGATTTCATCCTCCCTGAGAATCATGGGGAGGTTTGAACGATGAGGGCATGTTGGGGCAGCTATACAATATTGCAACTGTAGACTAGACTCTAGACATCATTCTTTTTCATTTCACGGCTCCTCAGCTCTTCGACCCCTCCCGCCAGAGTACGTGCGACGCGTTCGCATGCGCGAGCACGCACCCTTCCCAGGAATTGAAGAAGGTTTGCAAGGCGAAGATCAACATGCTCATCATCGATGCCACCGTTTTGCAAATCGCCTTCTCCAACCCCGAGATCATCTATCAGCTCCGTGTGCAAGGCAGTCATGCTGTTGGTGAAGTAGACAAGGGGAGCCAATTGAAGAGGGGGTTCTATCAAGTCCGGCACAGATGTGGACGCATCAGAGCATTCAGGATAAATCAGGGTGAACCTGGATCATCCACTGGATCGTCTTTAGCTTATATAAATGGTCTTTAGCTTATGTAAGTTACATTTTGCAACGTTTTTCGGAATCATACCTGTGCGGGGGGCAGGGGGTCTAGGAAAATGTAACTTGATACGTGGGGACGCTCTAAGTTACATTTTTGGAAGGCCCTTTCTGATGAGGGGGGGGTCAACAAATGTAACTTGGAAACCTTGACGCTTCGTTTAGCTTCTGTTTCTCCTATCGTTGTCTTCCTTTGCGATCCTTGTCCAATCGAATCTTGTTACATTGAGTGCCCTCATGGGAGGGTACCCGCATGACCAGTTTGAGCGTTTCCTTTCATGTTCCTTCCATGTTGCATTCATTTCTTTTCATGTCCTGTTCATTTTGGCATGTCCTTTCCTGTTAATTTCTTCAAAAGGTGGTATGCTCCAACCGGTCATGTGGGTACCCTCCCAAGCGCCCGCAAGTTTACTTGAACATGTAACTTTACATGCTGAAGGCTCTTTCCCTGTAGACAATTCCTTTCACTTCGCATTCATTCCCCTTCCTTTCGCATTCATGTCCTTTCATGTTGCATTCATTTCTTTCCATGTTCCTTCCATGTTGCGTGCCTTTCAAAAGGTGGTATGCTCAAACTGGTCGTGCGGGTACCCTCCCAAGCGGTAGCAATTATTTCCTGACAATGTAACAATTTTGTGCTGAAGGTCTTTTCCCTTTCGACATTTCCCGTCATTTTGCAAAATCCTGACGCACAGATGTACACACATACACAAAATGACGCCTCGCCACCAAGCAAAAAGTCAACCTCAAAAAATATGACTTCCAATTGGGCCACACACCAAAAAAACCTCAGGTTCACGGGAACACCTAGGTTATGTGAGAAACGCTGACCTCACAAATTGTAACTTACATTTTGGCCTCATCCCAAAACCCTCAGAATTCACAAGGAACTGGGACGTCCACCGTCTGTGTGTTTTGGACGTGATTTGGCGCTTTCTTTGGGATTTGCTCTTCTTTGAAAACGGTGCCCGCGGCGGGCGCCATCTACGAAACGGTGCAATGTTTTGTTCTCTCTAGGGTGGTAAAAGACGGTGATATGAATGCAACATGGAAGGCAAGTTCAAGGAAATGAATGCAAAATGAAAGGAACTGAATGCGGAATGAAAGGAACTTAATTAATGCGGAATGAAGGACAAACCCCATGGGACATGCAGGCGAAACGAAAAGAAACTGAAAGGACATAAATGCAGAATGAAAGGAATATGAAAAGAAATGATCACACCATGAAAGGAAAATGAAAGGAATGAATGAACCATGAAAGGAACATGCAAGGAATTTAATGCAAAATGACAGGACATGTCTAAAGAGAAAATGCCTTCAGCATTTAATGTTACATTTTTTGCATTTTGTGCATGAGAGGAAATGAATGCAACATGAAAGGAACATGAAAGGAAATAATGCATAATGAGAGGACAATGCAAGGAAATTGATGCAACATGATAGGACATGTCTAAAGCGAAAAACAAATCAGCATTTAATGTTACATGTTTAGATTTTTTACATGAGGGAGACATGAGTGCAACATGAAAAGCACATGACCGGCAATGACTGCAAAATGAAAGGAAATGACAGCAAAGCTAAAGGAAACTATTTGGAAATGAATGCGAAACGAAGGGAAACAGACAGTGACAGATGCACAATGACAGGAAAATGAAAGGACATCAATGCAGAATGAATTGAACATAAAAGGAAATGAATGCAACGTGAAAGGAACATAACAGGCAATGATTGCAACATGAAACGAACATGAAGGGAATTGCAGCAGAACTAAAGGAAAATGGTTGGATATGAATGCGAAATGAAAGGAAACTTGAAAGACATGAATGCAACATGAAGGGAACATGAAAGGACATACATGCAAATGAAAGGAATATGACAGGAAATGAATAGACTATGAAAGGAACATGAAAGGACATGAATGCAACATGAAAGGAACATGAAAGGACATAAATGGAAAATTAAAGAAATATGAAAGGACATGAATACACCATGAAAGGAAATTGAAAGGACATGATTGCAAAATGAAAGGAATATGAGAGGACATCAATGCAAAATGAAAGAAATATGAAAGGAAATGAATACGCCACGAAAGGAAAACGAAAGGAATACATGCAAAATGGAAAGAACATGAAAGGAACCTAATGGAAATAAATGCAGAATGAAAGGAGATGCAAGGAATCTTCTAAAGGGAAAGAGCCTTCAACAATTAATGTTACATGTTCAGTATATGAGCTCAAAAACTAGAAAATGTAACTTAGCTAAAATTGCCTGAACGTGGTAGGGGGGGTATCTACAGGTGTCATATTTCCTGTGAATTGTCAACTACAAAAATGTAAGCTGGGCTGAAAATGTAATATTACATGTTTGACACCTTTTTAACAACATGTCATATTACAAGTTTCACCCTCAAAAGCAAGGAAAATGTAAGTTACATTTAGGGTCCCCCCCTCACTAATTTGTGGCGATGTTTTATCACAAGGCCAGCATCGAGCCGAGCTCCGTTTGGCCTGGGCAGGGCCGGAATGGACTGAAGCAGATGCGGGGTGCAAAAGATTCACCAAGAAAGCAACGACCTCAATGAGCTGTAGCTTAGATGTTGCGGTTACGGCATATTTGCAAGCATTCTCTCACAGTGCTTTGTTTGTTCTTTTCTCATCTCTCATCTTTGTCCCGTCTCCGGCCATTCTAATCTCTCACCCTGCCGCTTGTGGTCGTCTCTCAGATTTCACCAATCGCTGCCAGTTCCAGGCCATTCTCCATACCCTATACCATACCATCATCATGACCTTGAAACCACCCCTCTCACTTGATCTATTCGCCAGAAATCGATCTAGTCGGACTAGAGTCTCGGTCGACAGTCTCGCGGCTCGGTCGACGAAGAACTCTTGAAGCGAGACGGATCGGTAGGCCTTCCTGCCTTTGGAAACTATGGCCTTCCAGCAAAGAGTTACGGGTGCAGCTTGGTCCTTGTGAAACGGGCCGCAGTGCCTAGTTTTGCTGAACGGTTGTTTTGTTGTGGGCTTTCGAAGCTAAAATGAAAGCAGGGTGAACTTGCAGTTTTGTCACATTTTGTCACACGGTGCCGTGATGTGCCGTCCGGAGTGGTTGATTTCACTTCGGACTTCTCGAGGCAACCACGCTGTGTATTTGGAGAGCTGTGATGAAGAAGCGAACAAGTACAGGATTTGGACCTGGGGAACCACCGTCGAGCTGACGAAGGAAATCTTGCTGGGGTATCCCACGACGCAGCGATTCCCTGATGCACCCGGCAGCCACTCAGCTTGCGATTTGAGTTGTTCATATAGAATTCCCAAGCGTGGTTCTGCTGGCTGGGTTTTGCTATCAGTGTGCTCAGCTGTTTGAACATACTTCGATCGTTCAAGTAAGTTTGGGCATTGGCCAATGCGTTTCCCCGTCCATGCTCTTTCGGAAAATGTTTGCAAGGTCACGTGCCTGCTTGGAACACTGGAGCTTTGTGTGCGGCAGTGGTGGCTGACAAGATTACCTTGGATTGAGCTATGTGAGCCGAACCGGCAACCATAGCGCTGAAGTAGAACGCTGTCAGAAATGGTCTATTTGGTTTCACTTGCATTTTGACCTGGAAACACGAAGCAGAGTGTTTTTTGCTGTTCAGGTAGCATCTTTCATCTTGCAACTTGGGTCAGCACATGCAGGAACAGCCGTTGCCTTTGTTTGTGCCAGACTTTCGTGTTGCTTTCTCCAACCAGTTTTGTTTCCTACCTTGCGCCGACTGCGCTGCTTCAAGACTGGAGCGAGCGACTTGCACTGAGCAAAACATGCGTCGCATTGCGTCGCCGGGTCGATGGGTTTCAACGAAAGGCATTTCATGGCTCGACGATTCATGTGATGTATAGGATGCTACTAGTAACAAGGGCCAAGGGCATCACTACTAGGGGCTCCTGGCATCGCTACTAGGAGCAAGGACGCTACTAGGAACAAGGACGTTATCATGTAAATTATCATGTATCCCTTATTCATCCTTATTCTAATTGCCAAATGTCATGACCCGCCCTCTCCTACAAGTACCATCGTGGAAAATGAATAAACATGGCATCTAGGAAAAGGGGGGGTAGTTGTAGATTCAATATTTGGAGGCAGGGCAGGTAGGGTGACACAAAAGCTTCATGAACTGTTGTTCTTGTTTTGTTGATGTAGCTTTGTCGATGTCCTGGAGGCTCATGACACTCATGACCCTGAGACTCAGTAAAGATTTCCACTCGTTTTCCAGGCCCTGGTGGCTGAGCAAGAGGCACTGACACGGATGGAGGGAGGGAGGGAGAGAGAGAGAGAGAGAAAGTTGCACGCGGTTGCATACGGTTACCCAATTTGTTTGGGCCTCCCTCCCTTCAACAAGGATGGAAGCGGATTCACCTGCTGCCAACAGACTCTTTTTCCCTACCAGCGAGTGTATATTATTCACTTCCATGTTTGGAGGCTCATGGAGAGCTTCAACTCCTCCTTCATGTCGGAATGGCGCAATGCTGCTACTGTACATCGAGGTTGCACACACTCCATAGCATCAAATTCCTGGTAGGATGTAGCAGCGTAGCAGTTCTTGCGGCACTTGGCTTGGCTCAAAATCTAGGATTGTACTTGAAATCTCTCAAAAAGAACTCCGCATTGTATTGGCGATGGCGTTCCGGCTTGCGCTCATCACAGCCTGCTACAGTCTTGGCAACGTCCTGGGTGCGGAATGCACGGAAGGGACTTGTGATGATGACAGTGTTTTGATGCAGATGGATCAGCTGCATATGAAGATGTCGACGGATGAGAAGATGGCAATCTCCAACCTGATTGAGAATCTTGAACGCCAATTTAGGAGATGTGAAACTCCCAAAGTGATCAAGCCGTGAAACGCTAGTTGGGGATGTGAATCGTGTGTTTTTGCCTAAAGAACGGAGGTGAAGACCCCGCGGGAGGTGCCGCACGTGATCTCCTTTGCGGGATCAGGTAGCGTAGCGGTGTGGCGTTGTTTGGGGGCTTTGGTGTCAAAATGAGGAAGGCCTTCTCCGACATCAAGGGCTCCGGAACGTATTTGAAGAGCTGGTCACAGAAATCAGGCCCAATCCACAAGATCAACAAAGCATTCGAAAATGTCACCGGCCTTGGCAATTTTCTGCCTCACGATATCAAAGAGGACCAGAGCTTTGTGTTCATGTTTGATGTGAGAAGGTGGCACAGCCGGGCTCTTTTGAGACCATATTGTGGTCATGTCAGAACACGCGATGGACTTCAATAGGGCGGCCGCCTTGCGGTATCATAAACCATTTGAGTAGCGATACCACCCTTGAAGAGGCGATAACATGGTAATACCATCATCAGCGATTTGCAACAATGCAGTGTGAACCGCAGCCGGTTTCCATACCCGAGGATCGAAAGATACCTAATGGATCCTAATAGCTTGGATTAGATCAGATTGGATGGGATAGACAATTGGGAAGATAGATGACATCCTTGACTTCTCCGAATTGTCTAGCTGCTCGGCGACGCCCTAGCAATACCCAAGGGATACCTCAAGCGATACCCGAAATCCAGTTAAGTGATCGTTTGCACACCGCCAGACTACTGCTACTACTTACTACCACTGCTGCTGCTACTACTGCTACCACCACCACCACAACTACTACTACAACTGCTACTACTCCTACTACTGCTGCTACTACTGTTGCTAGTGCTCCCACCAAGTGGCGATAAGTCAAAAAGATTGCTGGCTATGTGTAGCGATGCCACCCTTGAAGGCAACACCCATGACCTTACCACACAGAAGGAGTTTTGACCGTCGCACATATGATGCCATATGTCATATGTGGTTGCCTTTTCAGATTCGTGAAGCTTGGATGGGTTCAGTGCCTTCACAGAAAAGAGAACTGCAGAAGGGCCTGCGATTAATTTTAGTTGTTTGCAGCATGGGGATGAGGACCTATTAGCCAGAGTAGTTGAGCCTCGCATGTTGAGCGCAAATCCTCAGAAAATTGGCCAGAACTGGGAAGGTTTACGCAAGTTCCACGCGTTTGCACACATGTACGTAGAGCATCGTAAAACGCGACGGGCCATGCTGTTTTTTTGGAACCAGCTTCTTCTGCAATGGCTCTCAGAGTGGCAACCTGAGATTTGTCTACCAGAGAGCCGTCCGTGCCAAACCATTCCAGCGCACTTGCCTTGCCAAACCATTCTTTTGAGGAGGTTGGTTCCCATGCTGTTGCGGGAGTATGAGCGCAAAGTGTTGCATCTCAAAACGCATAAGTTTCATAAGTTCATAAGTCACAAAAATACTGTGCCCGCGTTATACTAGAAGCAGGCAAGGTTTGCCCAAGGCCAGCGCAAGGTTAGTTTTCCGAACAATTTATTTGGACGACCCGCATTGTCATATTAATAGTGAGTGGCCGGTCCGCTTAGAATGTTCCCTTCTGTCTCTTGAAATTGCATCCAAAAACTCTTGCTAACGCTCCAAATGCCAGTCCTGGATCAATAACCCCCCCGCCCAGAAGCAGCAAGCTCTTGGAGAGGCCATATCCACGCAAGACTTGCAGCTTGAATGAATTCAGTTCCTGTGCCTGAACCCGATGCCAACCCACAGGAGCATGACGCGACAGGAAAGGAAAGGCCACAAATCAAGATGGCAGGAGGGCTCAATTAGAGGCGGTATGCACAAGGGCATCGATCGCTACTAGTAACAAGGACGCTACTAGTAGCTCCTGGCATTACTACTAGGAGCTAGAAGCTACTAGTTACTAGTAACACAGGGCATCGCTACTAGAAGCGTCCTTGTTACTAGGAATGAGCTGTACCCTTTGTGAGCCGCAAACAGGCTGCAGCCGTGCAAAGCTGGCTCCTATAGTAGGAACCCATGAGTCAATTTTGATAGTCTAGTACTTAAGGAAAACACGGATCATTGAAAGGAAAAGGACAGAAGCAACGCCAAACAGGAAACAACCAAAGGACTGGAAGGTCAATCGGTGGTGCTTTTGGAGTGAAAGTTGCACATTCTAGACGCAAATGTTGGTTGCAACTTTGCTTTTGGTCCCTCGGCATGACATGCGAACTGTTCACATTTCTTCACGTGGGGTTCCCACCCCGACTCGCCTTAGCAGGATGCCACGTGGCAGAAGTGCACCAGCATCAACTGGACGAAAGTGGCCTCTCTTGACACGGTCAACCAAGCCAGCATTTGGCAATTTTTTTTGCAGATGCATGGGTTGAACGTATGATCTGACACCTTTCCGACACAGCACCATCCTAGTTCTGTACCTTATTGATCCTTATTTTGAAAGGCGTTTTTGACGCATAGATTCAGTGATGTGGAATGGTTTTCGCCTCGAACATCGCAGTGCAGATCTGAAAACAGCTTAGGCAACCCACGAGATCCCATTCATTTTCTTCAGGGTTGCTGTTGCGTAGTTCTTTTTTGATATTGGGAAGAACTGCCCAAAGGGACACCCAAAGCGCGACAAGACAAGTGGTTGTTCATTCTTCGCAAACATTATTGTCGTCTACACTGGGAAATTTCGACCCTATTCATTTCAGTTCCGCGCGCATCCCCTTTTCGTGTTTGATGTGTGATATATACCGCGCAATGCTACGTATATAATATTATATATATAAGCTTTTTGACGCGTGCAAACAAATAATGTTATGTCGTGTTTGCAGAGATGTTGCGACAGGCTTAGGGGCAATGAGAGTGCAAAGGTCAAGCACAAATTCTGCCACAAAAGCTGTAGAATTGCAAGAGTTTTCAAGATGCGTTGATGCCGCTTAGACGTAAACAGACATGTACAGGAGGCATCTAGGCTGCCGGCTTTGATTTCGATATAGGTCGGTGCATACAATATGGAAGCTGTTCCATGACCTTTTTGCCAAGGGCATCGCTACTAGTTACTAGTAGCGATGCCCTTGTTACTAGGTGCTGGGAATTTTTGCTTACTTTGTTTTCAGACTCATCAGGTTGATGGGAAGCTTCAGTTGCCTTCCGTGAAGGCGATGCTCGAGGAGCTGGAGTTGGACAAATGCGCCTCGTTGGCCGCTGCACGAGCGTGGACAGCGCCACAAACAACGGGAAGCACACAGCGAATCACCGAAATGGCAAGTAGAGATCTGAAGAGGACTGTTAACTTGGGACTCAGGACCCGCATTTTAGGTTTGAGGGTTGTTACAGCATGGCCCAGACTTGTGGAAGAGAAACTCTTACAACTGTTTAGTTGGAGGGTATCAACCGCTTGTCCAATTGGTGTACAGGGTGCCGTATCCCTTCATGAAATACTTTCCTTGGTGTGATCCACCATCGGCCCGTGATTGCAAAGAAACCCATGGCTCTTAAAGCCTATAGGAGCACTTTCTTCCATCAAAAGGCATCCGATGGACAAGAGCAGGTTTATACAGCCATTATATTGGTGTTGCATTTGATGGAAAGAAATTGGGTTGAAGCCTGGTGTGGCACCTCATGGTTTGCAAGCCCAGGCTGGTGCGAGGATGGAGCTGCGCGGCTCGGCTTTCTTGGGCAAAGCAGCAGTGTAACTGATGCGATGAGTTGGAATCGGGCCCCCAGTCCCCTCGCCTGTTAGCACCTAGGGGGCTAGCTGTTCAAAGATAGCCCAGAAAGTTTCACTGGAACAAGCATGTGGCCTTTCAATATCCAGACCATGGAGGGCTCACGGGTGGCTCTAAGGCCAGATGCCCAGCACCTGGGACGCAGAAAGTCATCAGCTCAATTGCTTGCTTTGTTGCCAACCGCGAGAGATGCGGCAACGCATAGGGCCTAGTGCAACACATTTGAACATAGTAGTGCCCTGCAGGTAACGTGCAGCCATGCAAGTGGAACTGCCCCTGTGGAAAACTACCTCTTAGAGTAAGTCTTCTTCCAGGGGCCATGGGCCATTGTCACCGTCCACTTCCACAATTGTCTTGAGGTACGCAGCTACGTATTTTTAATCTTGTGACTCTTGTGTTTTTTCAAGGCCATTCAATCATCCGCTTTTACACCCAAGATCCATCTCCACAATATCACGAAAGCTAGCATGCTAGCTGAGTTCTTCTTTGCTTTAGCAATTGGTAGTGGGATCAGCTGTGTGCCTTAAAGCTTGATATATCACACCAAGGGGGGGGGCCAGGCCCCTTTCTTAGCGTGATATATCACGCTAACCTTCCCCCCCCCCACGGTTCGACTCCCAGCTGCGCCGTGTAGCGGGGGTTGGTTGAACGTGTGAACGTGGTTGGGTGGGTGTAAACGGTGGCTTGGTGTAAACGGTGCTGCTG